TTGATTTCTGCCAATGCATACACGTAGATTAAACTGGTAAATAGAATCATGAATATGTCTATAAAATAATATTTATCAATCTACTTAAGATAGGTTCAGACTGCCATTTTTATATTTTTCAAAGGTTTCATTCTTTTTTTGCTTTATCAAATTCCTGTAATCTGATTGGTTGAATGTCACATGAATCTACTCTGCTTTAACTTCGGCTTAAGTAAATTTTATATATCATAAATAAATATCAATATTTTTGAACTATATCCATTAGAACTATTAAAATAAATATTATTATCTTTGTTTTAAAATAAAATTTTAATCTAAAAAAAAAAAAAAAAAATTGATTTTTATAAAATTTGGGTCGGCGGGTTATGCAAAACAAAAAATTAACTTTGCATGGCCTAATCATGTGATTTGTAAACTTATCCAATAAAGAATTGGTTTGTTGAATTTTGGAAAGTGGTTACAAAGAAGAGATAACATTATCAACAACTTTGAACGGCTTTACTATCTTCTTATAGAAGAAAAACTATTTAAATTAGTGTCACGACTGATGCTAAAATTGGCTGATGCTGAAATTTGGAGTCTCGATTTGACAATATAAACCCTGCTAAAATTTACATATACAAATCCTAGTCCAAAATCCTAACCCAACCCTAAACAAAAAAGCGAAAAAACATCCTAAAATTTCATATCAAAATAGTCCAAATTTCAGCACCAGCCACTTTTAGCATCAGCCGTAACAATTAACTTTTTTTTTTTTTTTTTTTTAATCTTAATGGTGAGACCATGCGTAGCAATTAATCTTTTTTAATAATAATTAATAATAATAAAAATGGAAACAAAAGCTATACTGGATGTTCCAAAAGTTTTTATACAGGGTCTTTTTTTTAAGCGACCTTTTATATAGAGATCATTATGATTATTTATATATTTATATATCTGCAATAATAATTATAGTGATTTCTATATATAAGGTTACTTAAAAAACCGTGACTATGTATAGAAACTATTTGGAACATCTCATAATTGACAATATAAAACTCAAACTTTGATAAAAAAATTTTTTTTTATAAATAAGATATACTTCGGTTATTACTGTATATCAAGATCACGGGAATATTATTATTACCAACCACTCGGATAGAAAACGTCAAAAAAAGACTTTAAAAAAAATCCAACCCGACCAGGTTATGAAGAGTAAAAATATATATCGATATATAAAGAAATCAAAAAAAATAAAGTTGAGTTGTTTTGAAACCAAAAAATCCCATCTTAAATACTGTTTTTCTTTATTTGCTGTCGATCTAATCTAAAAAAAAAAGTTTGATATGCGACGTAAACTCGTGGCTTATAAAATTGGCATCGTGGCATGTGGTGACTGGCTAGGGAAATTGGTTGTTGCACATCGTTTAATTATTACATTAAACATATATATACCCCATTGATTTTTAATTTTTATTGTCATACTAATTTATTTTCTACACTGCCCGGTTAGTGGGCTTTGTTTTTCTAAGCTTCAAGGCTAAGCTTGTTTCTTCTTGTGGCTTAAATGAACTTTTTTTTTTCAAAAATCGATTATTCCGATTTTTTCTTCCTTTTTTTTTTTTTTTTCTTTTCATTATTATATCAGATAACCCATTTGAAAATTGTGATCTGACGGGCGATTTTTTTTTTTTTTTTTACAGCGTAGATTTTTAAACTATACGCAAATTAATATATATAGCAAATGAGCATCCTTAAGGGTGCTTTGGAAAGGCTTCTAGCCGAATCTCAATCATCAAGGCAAAAAGAACTTGAACAAGCTTGTACTACCGCTTTAGAGAAACTTAAACAAGAAATAAATTATATTGCTAAAAAGAAAGCTATAAAAGATGGAAAATTAAAAGCAAAGTCAGAAAATGATGCCGTCGAAGTTGCCCCACAAATAAACAATTCTGAAAATGGGTCAATATCAAATAATAATACCAAAAATAGCGTACCGCAAACATCATCTTCTACCGATGGATCTGCTGGAGAAACAAGTCAAAGGGGTGCTGAAAAAGCTGCTGAGAAGGAATTAAAAGCAGCTAGCCCCACACAAAAAAGTTCTCCAAGCATACCATCACAAGCTAATTCACGTTCATCAATCTCTAGTAGTTTGTTTGCTCGTGCTGGTGAAGATTTACCAAAAATTTTAGCCGATAATTATTGGCAACCATTCAGAATCGCTTGTGGTACTTCAATTCCAGTTAACGTTCGTGTGTTAGCTTTGGATTGTTTACAAAAAATTATAGCTCATGGATTGCTCAAGGGATCTAAACCGATTGTTCCGCCAAAGAACAGTATCACTAAGAAACGTGATCCCAAAGTTAAAAATCAAACAAATGGTTTTAGCGATTCTAATGATTTATCATTTATTGACATATCTGAGACTCCATTTGATAATGATGAGTCTACAGATGGTGTTTCTACCACAAATCCTTCTACTTTTCCAAATCCGGCTCGATTAATTGATGATGTGGTTCATACGGTTTGCATAGGATTTGTTGGTCCTCAAACTGATCAAACCGTTCAACTTCAAATATTAAAAGTATTGCTTACTCTTGTTACCACTGAACAATGTCCAGTTCATGGTATTAGTTTACTTAAAATTATTCAAACTTGTTGTAATATATATTGTTATTCAAAAAGTCAAGTAAATCAAGCAACTGCAAAAGCTGAATTAACTCAAATTTCAAATTTTATTGTTTCGAGATGTGAAGAATTCGCACTAGAATTATCCAAAAGTGAACTTTCAAAAAGTAATTCTGCTACATCTCAGATAGCAACTTCTGACGCTAGCCCTGTATCTAAAGATGATAAAAATGTTGACGAAATTAATGATGTAGATAATGACAAAGATGATAATAGTAAAGAAGATAGTGATGAAGGAAAAGCGATCGATGATGATGATGATGATTATGTGAATATAGAAGTTAATGGAGTTGATTCACCAGATTTTATAGAGAATGAAAAGGTCATAAAAGCAAATGCTTCTGAGTCAAAAGAGCCAACAAGTATTAACGGTGAAGTTCTCGTTACCGAGGAATCTAATGGCAATGACTTCGCAGATGCTAAAATATCTGATCATACGGAAGATATTATTGAAGTAATTAATATTCCTGTGGATCACGATGATAATAAAGATAAAGAGATTGATGGTGATCAAATGAATGGTAATCCTGAATCCTCTACAGTTAATGTAAATTTGGTACAAGATGATGAGGCAAAACCGGAAACGATTATAAGCGAAACTACTGAGAATGAGTTGACTAACAAAGAGCTTGAAGATGTCGAGATAGAGAAAACTGTGGAGCAATTTACAAAAGATGACCAAGTTAAAAATGATGTGAAGGATGAATCTTCAAAAGACGACCAAGTTAAAAACGATGTGAAGGATGATTCTTCAAAAGATATTCAACTTAATGATGGTAAGGC